TAACCTGGCTGGGTCTTTTCCTCAAGGCAATTTCTGATACCATTATACTTGACCTTTTATCGTGGGTTGCCTAGATTCCTCCCAAGGAATCTTTCAGTTTCCTATTTGGCTGTCAGCATTCAGAGAGCTGGGGTGGGGAAAATGGCGAAGGTTCTCAATAAACAGCATAAACCTTTTCACCCTGGCCTCCTCCCAACCACATTTCCTATAGCACCTCACCCCTTCCAGTGTGCATGGTGAGTTCTGGTCCAGAGATACTGTTTTCTTTTCCAGAAAAAAAAAAAAAATCCCAATTTCCTGCCAGAATTGGAAAAGATGAGTAGGGAGCTAACTGCCTAGGGTCCTCATTCCCACTTCTAAGGTGTCTTGTGCCATCACTAGCAAGCCTTCTACAGCTTCTGCAGGGTATACTGGTCTTTATGGTTGTCTCCCCTTTAGAGTAGAGTTCTGTTTCACTAGAGTTTCATTTGCAAGGGGTTTTAGCAGGGAGTAGGTAAATTCTATCTACTCTTTCTAAACTATACGTGTTAGAAAAATAAATCTGTGTTTTGAAAAAAATTTAGATTCACAGGATTCTTGCACAAATACTCCTATTAGCCTTAGTATGGCCTCCCATAATGTTAACATCTTCTAGAATATGGCACATCTGTTAGTTAACAAATTAACATCATTAAAAAATATTAAGATTTCATTAGTATTTCACCAGTTTTTCTACTAATGTCTTTTTCTTCTGTCCCAGTCCTAATCCAGGCTAAAACTGTATTTACACATCACTCTCATTAGTCTCCCCCAATCTGTAATGTTTATCACTCCTTATTATGACACACTGACACTTTGGAAGGGTAGTCTTTAAAAAAAAAAAAAAATTTGGGCCTCCCTGGTGGCGCACCAGTTGAGCACTAGGCTGCGAAGCTGCCCGCAGCCTCTGCAGCACCGGTTCGATCCCCAGTGGCCTGTGAGGGTTCCACATAGCGCGCAGACCTCTTCTGCCACGTGCCCGCTGCTCCCCTCAGCAGTGTATTTGGTCAGTTTGCCTGTTCTGCTCCCCGCTCTGGCTCTGGTGAATCCTCTCACCCTCATGTGCTTCTGACTGTACCCAGTGCTTGTATAAATAAATAAATCTTAAAAATAAATTTTTTCAAATATTTTTGTTTGACTTAAAAAAAAGAATCTTCTTGTTCATGCAAAATATTCTCTTAGCTCTGAGTAAATGAAGGTTATTTTAGCTTTTCATATCTGGGGAGACTTATTCATAGCAAAAATGATGCATCTCAGTGTTATATGACTCAGGTATAGGTTCACCTCTTCAGTTACTATAAGACTTCCCCGGGGGACCAGGGCACATCTCCCATGGATAGATTAATCCCGGTCATAATCCCCAGGATTATGATTAATACCATTCAGGGAACCTGAGTTCCAGAGGAGAAAAATAGTGAAAAAACAAACTCAAGAGATTTCCTGAAATTTTAATATTAATATTTAAAATATTTTGAAATTATACCTACCCCCAGCATCAAAGAATTCCTCCACAATAATTTTTTCTAATAGCAAAATGAGAAGTTGTTTGGAATTTTATTTTATACAAATGACACTCTGTGTCTTTGCTCATCTTTCCAGTATTAGGGCAATAAATGATTATAGGATTGAATGAATTTCAAAGATAACCTTTTTTTTTCATTTTTATAGCAAATATTTTAACAATGACATTATATTTTCCTTTGTGCCTAAAATGCACTTTAACTGAACAGCTCAACGTGCAGCTAAAAGCTCCTATTCTCTCAGGTGATAACCTCTATTATGATTTCTATCACTGTAGATTAGTTCTGTCTGCTCTTAAAGATCATAAAGGTGGAATTACACAGTATTTATGCTTTTGTGGCTAATTTTTTGTTCAACATCATCTTCAAGATGCATCCATATTGTAGCATATATTGTTAGTTTGTCTTTTTGTACTTTGGTATAATGTTTCATTGTGTGAATATACCATGACTTATCCATTCATTCCACTGCTGACAGATATTTGGAGTGTTTCCATTTGGCATTATTATGAAATAAGTATCTTTTAGTCATTCTTCTATACATCTTTTAGTGAATAGAAGCACTAATTTCTGTTGAATGCACACATGCAACATGGAAATGGTGTATCAGTGTATTTATGATGTGTTAGGCTGCTTCGGAGATACTTTCACCGCCTTCTAGTGAGTGAGTCACAAATTCTCTCCTACGAAGAACTCCTCCCCGATGGTGGCTGTGGTAACAAATACCCGAAGAGAGTATCTTTAAATTATATACAGTCTTGTAAATCAATGTTAACTCAATTAAAATAATATGTAAGTAAAAAGCAAATGGAAAAAAAAATATAATAAAATCTAAAAAAGTCAAATCAATTCATCACTTACATTAACACCCACAACAGATACACATGAGAAGCAGGGTTGCTTCGGCACAGCCACACTCGGCAGTCAGTCACAACATTTTCAGGGTGGGCATACTTGCAGCTCGCTGTGATTTTAATTCACACTTCCTGCGGTGATGAACACAGACTGCTGACCATTTGAACATGTTGCTTTGCCCTTGCTGCTAGTTGTGGTGTTTATTAAAGCAGTAAGCACTTCAGGGTTCTCTGTGAAAGCCTTAATTTATTACAGCCCTTCACCTTGGCAGGAACTAACCTCTAACCTCTACTTCCCCAAAATGTCTGCTCAGCTGTTCATTTTTGGTTTTGGATTTGGTGAGTGTTCCTTCTGCATATGCAGTTTAGGACTTGGCCAATATCGTGGGGAGACTCTGAACACTGATTTTTGTTGCTGAATGTTCTGAACATCTGCCCTGAACAGGCCAGGACTCTGCCTTTGGCCTTTTCGCCCTTAAGACTGACATTCACTGCTTGAGCTTTGACTTCTCATGCTGCCCTATAGAAAATGTTTTTTTTTTTTTTTTTTAAAGATTTATTTATACAAGTACTGGGTACAGTCTGAAGTGTGGGAGGGTGAGAGAATTCACCAGAGCCAGAGTGGGGAGCAGAACAGGCAGACTGAGGGGAGAAGCAGACGCGGCAGGAGAGGTCTGCGTGCCATGTGGGACCCTTGCCGGCGGCCGGGGGTTGAACCGGCGCTGCAGAGGCTGCGGGCAGCTTCACAGCCCAGCGCTCAACAGCTGCGCCACCAGGGAGGCCCTATAGAAAATGTTTTTAAAAGTTTAAAAATCACCTGAATGTTTCCGTTTTCTCAATCCCATCTGCATTAGTTGCCCTGCAGTACCTCCAAAAGAGCTCTTTCCTAGGCGTTCGCTGTCACATGGTTGTTTTTGGTGAAAAGATGACTCCCTTACTCGCTGTACTATGTCAGCAGAGCAAACGTGCCATTTATTAAGTTTTGAATTATCTATTCGATTTCTAAAATTCTTTGGTTCTGTAAAAAATGTGTCTGGTCATTTTTTTCATATCTCATCTTAATCCTTACTCACTACAAAATATTAATCTTCAAATTAGGTAGATTCTGTTATGTTTGTGCCTTTTATCATTGTGGTATTTTGGTTTCCTTTCACTGGAAACTGTTTTGCATATAGGAATAATTGCACAAAGGATTTAGTAAAAATTTGCAGTCATGCGGTAGAACAACTGATACTGAAACTTGCGGAACAGATGTTTGTCTGTCTACCTGCTGGTCCTCACCCACACCTGGATTAGTTAGATGAGTAAGGTGCAAATAGAGAAAAAACAAAAATATTCTGCTTTGCAAAAATGTGGATAGAATGTGTTGACTGAAAATTATTAGCAAAAAGTGATTAAGCACACAAAACTTGCCAATTTGGTAAAATTTCTTTTGCTTACTCATGTTACTCAGAACACTAAAAATGGTTACATGAAAATGGTACTTTTTTGGTTGGTTGTTCCAGATACATGTTAACAAATTATGCTTTTTAGAATGTAATTTTATCAGTTACAAAAATGTTAAGGTTTTAAGACATGTTTGAAGTCATATCCTATTTCCTTCCAGTACCGAGGTTTAGTCTCTTCTCTCCAAAATGTCTGTTCTTCACCATTCCAACTGTTGTCATTGGGGCTAAACTGCCTTCTCATTTCATGTCACATATTCTGGCAACTTCTGAGAGTATGTGGCTTTCTTCTGTGTCTCACAGTGAAGGCTGCCAATTTGATCTTCTATGAGGGATCCTTAGCCCATGTCACCCTGTGCCAGCAGTCTGACATTCTCTCCTGATAATATTAAATGTGAATTCACCTATTTAACTTCAGCATTCTCATAATTTGCTTAAGTATATCATTACCATTTATTTTATATTCCTTTCCCAAGAAATATTTTCAATTTCCATCTACCCACCATTCAATATACATATTCTCTTCCCTGTTTTCAAATGTCTCAACTATCTGTGCTCCGTCATATATCACTCTGCACTCAGCAATTTGTGGATGTGACATATTCCCCCTCTAGGTCATCATAAAATCTTTGAAGACACAGGATTCATGTTTCGTAATCTCTGTAGAAATTTGTCACACACAGTTGGTTTGCAGTTTGCAGTTGCTTGGTTGTGCCATGCTCTCTATTTGGCATGACTTCCCACCCATGTCCTTCTCTGATAACCAAGCCTACTCTTCTACCTGCACGACTCAATTTAAGTGTCTCTATCTCTGGGAGCATTCCCTGACTTGCTCTGGATCTTCCTCGCAGTGCGGGAGAACCCTTGCCCCTCCTGTGTGCTCACATAGCACCTGGATTTTATCCTCACTGCCCTCCGCAGCTCAGCATTGTAGTAAATGCTTTACTGGTTTGTCTTACCAACAGAGATCCCTTTGAAATCAAGGATCACATTTACTACAGTTCATATATTTTTTTATGACTAAAACTTTATAGTATTCTGTACACATATTGGAATTAAGCTTCAATGAATGAATGAATTTGTTTCCCCAATTCAAAGAAAAACCATTTAAGCATAGGGACTGGAACTTAGTTTCTTGTGATCCCAGATTCTTAGTTTCTCACCTGATCTGGTGGGTACACCCCAGCTTTCTCAGTTAATGACTCTCTTGCTGTCTCAATAATTTTTTTTTGCAGCATCTCCTAGGCCAAAAAAAATACCTGCTTGTTCCATTTGTTGATTAATTTGGTCATAACTTAGCAGCCATATGAAAAAGATACACGGAAATGGAAGATCTTTTACTGCATCCTTCACTAGTTATGTACTGATGAAATTTTGTACACACAAGGCATGTAACTTCTCAAATCCAGGCATAAGATTAAACAACACTCTCATTTCCTGTTCCACATTGGTATTTCCATGGCACTTTTATTTTTTTTTAAATCAGAGCAACCTCCAACAGCTTCCCTGCAGGAATGTAAGACAATTTAGTATTGATCAGCTAGCAGTTTCCCGGGCTCCCAGGAGACCTCGAGTATCTGTGTAGTCTTCTAATACTTAAAATACCCACAGCACCTTTATGGGGCTACTGCCACACCCCAAGATACCCTCACACCTTGATTCAGTGTGGGAACTCCAGACTCTGGTAATCACAGTCAACATTACTCACTGATGTCACTGTGAAAGACATGATGCTAGGAGTTAAAACTATACAGGTGAGGGCCTCCCCTGGTGGCACAGCAGTTGAGCACTGGGCTGCAAGGCTGCCTGCAGCACCGGTTCGTTCCCCAGCCATCGGTGAGGGTCCCACCAAACAAAACAAAACAAAACAAAAAACTATACAGGTGATTAAGGTGATGGAAATAATAAGGGCTAACAACAGCAACAGCCTCTTAGCAACCACTCCACCAAGTTAGTTCCATGAGTGTGTGCTGGTTTAAAGCTCATTAGTGGTACTTACAACTAAAGAGTCTATGACCTGACAGAGATCTGTGTGAAAGACAGCAGAATCAAGCAAAATGTAATATAAAAAAAGTATTTAAGAAGATGTGGTACATATACACCATGGAATATTACTCAGCATTCAAAAAAGATAAACACATGCAATTTGCAGCAACATGGATGGCGCTGGAAGGGATCATGCTCAGCAAAATAAGCCAGAAAGAAAAAGAAAAATACCGGATGGTCTCACTCATAGCAGGAATAAGGGACCAGGAAAATGAATAACTATAAGAAAGTGAAAATCAAAATCAACAAACAACTATGAACCAGAGACACTCTATGGGGGGAGGAAGGGCAAAGAGGGGAGGGATTGGGGTCAAAATAAGGGGGTCGCAATTGTATGGGGAATATAAAAATAAAAAAAAATAAAAAAAAATATATAAAAAAAGTATTTAAAAAAACAGTGATATTCAGAGTGTAGAGTTACAGGATAGTTACATGTATTTCCTTTAAGTCCTCAGAATCATTTGAGAGGCTGATACACCCTAGGGTTTCAGGAAATCATTTAACTAATGTTACAGGTATTAAACTGGCAGTGTTGATAGTTTAAATGTCCGGCAGGAGATTTTAACAGTACTTATTGTGAACTCTCAACAATTATAAGAAAGGTAGATTTTTGCAACGTCAGTAGCTGAGCAGGCATATGTGGAATAGGAAATTGTCTTGTAGCTCCGTGACACAAAATCACAATAGGGACCCTGAGAGCAGAGAGCAGTAGAAATACTTTTCTCAATACACAAATCCTTTCCTCTCCCACCCCCGTCCATTCTCCGCAGTCCTGGAAAGTTAATAGTGACTTGATAGCTTTACAATGTATAAAGCTAATGTTTTAAAATATATTTCTAATCTGTTTCCCTTCAGCCAAATAAGAGACAATATCCTTTCGTGGAAGCCGTTCAGATAGGTGAAGACAGGGGCTCACCTTCCTTTCTCTCTGTTCCTTGCAGAGCACAGGCCAAGATTTCCTGTTCCGTCACTGGCTTGACTGCACCCCACCTAGTATTCATGTGGTATTTTACAATCTTTAAAACTGCATTGCAAATTTAGCTCAGTTTTCATTTTTCAAAAATATGTTTCCAGGAGCCTCGCAACTCTGTAATGCAGGTGTTATTAATCCCACTTTATAGATCTGGAATGGGAGCCTCACACATATTAAGACCTTGATCACAGTTACAGGGGTCACAAGCAAGGACTCCCACTTACTTCGGGGCACATTTATTTGGCAGTGAAAATTCTTTTGATCACAGGTAACAAAAAGTTCTGAACAAACAACTTGAAAAAGCGAGGGGCCCAGGGCATACATTTCTCCCTCTCAGGTCTTCTCTGCCTGGGCATTGCTCCATGTTACCCAGATGTCCCAGCACCTTCTCATTTCTTTCTATGCATGAGGAGTTTGTATACCTGAGGTGCCAAGTCCCCAAATAAAGTCTTTACGGGCTTGATTCTGGATATGTATGAATTTTTGGAACCTGCTAACTAACATGGGAGGAGAGGCAAGTCATTAGCCTAAGTCAGTAAAGACTTTAGACAAAGAGCAGAAACTAGGTTCAATCTCCCCAAAGCATAGGGCTCACTATTACACAGTATCACTTTGTGGAACAGAGGAATAGGTGCTGAGGAGTCACAACAACAGGTAAGATGGTCCCACTTTGATTGGAGAGGACTAACAGCCAGCACGTGCAACTGAGCAGGAGGCTTCCTCTGATCCGCACACTGTCATTGGTCCCTGCACACCCGCACTCATCACCTTACAGCCTATCTAGCTACCTGTTTGAAATAAATACTTAGCTCAAGTCAATAGATTATCCTGTTTCTCCCAGATTTCTTTGTAAAGATTTCGCTGAATAACAGTAAGAATCATCTCAGTTTGGCACCCAACAGACAATCTGATACTGTTTATTAAAAGGAATCATAACATCCAAAGAAGGATTTTTGGTTACCCTTCTTTTCATAAAATGTTTAATTTAAACGCAATGAAAATTGTTTAAAAAATCCAAATTGTGGTGGTGGAGCCTAAGTCCATTTTTTAAAGATTAATATGTTTTCTTAAAACAATGCTGGTCCTAGACTTTCTTGTAATCAATTGCAGTTGTTCACAACATAGCTCTTTGTTTCAAACTGCTTATAATGTAATGGAGAAGACAGAAAAGCAAATCCTTTCAATAGAACCTGACTGGGTAAGTATATCAATAGTTAGATAATCTGAGCGGTAGAAAGGACGTTTCCTAGGCTTAAAAATGCTAAATTATTAAATGAGAGTGAATTTTCCAAGTCAGGAAAGCAATGCAGGCCCAGAATGAGGAAAAGCCCACTCCCATAAAGTAATATGGCCTGCACACCAGCAGTTGGGGCTAAACACCTGGCATGTGAAGCAGAGTGGCAGAAGATGAGTTGGCAAGGCAGGGACCAGTCACAGAAAGACGTCAGTTCATGCCTCGTAGCTTGAATGTTCCCTTACAGGTTGTGAGGTACCAAAGAATTAAAGTCAGAGAATGATACTTCTCTTTCATTCCAAGTTGAAAGAGGACAAAAGTGGAAGCAAAGAAATCTATGTAAGAGGTCAAGGTGAACAAGGAGAATCCTAATTAAGACAACAGTAGCAGGCAGGCAGGAAGTATTCATTTAACAAAGAAGGTTTTAATGGAAAAGGTATGAAAACGGGGAGAGAGGACATATTTAGGAGAAATTAGTTTTCTGGACTGGTAACTTGGTAGATGCTTATCTCACAGACAAAGGTAGGTATCAGACTAGAAGGGAATATTTCGAGAGATAAGAATGTGAGCTGATGATTCTGTGTTCACATGCCCGAGTACCGTACTCTCACAAAAAGATACGTCACATTTCACCTCTGTCTAACTAGGTCACTAGCGAAATACTGTAAAGAAAACTTGAACTAATAAATCAAAATGAAATAAGTTAATATGGAAAAATGATTTCAGTGTTGTGAAATTATCTGGCTTGCTAAGCTAAAATAGAAATGCCATTTCCTTTTATAAAGAAGGGTCAGGTGGCTATGCTAAATTTCTTAAAGAAAATATAACCACTGATTGTAATGTCTGTGGCTTCTGGGGAAAACATAACCCCAAATTACGGCGGCTGTGGTTATAAACTATAACGAACGGCTTCCAACGTCAGGCATAGTTTGTCGGTGTGCACTGGAGTCCTTTTACAGGACTTTGCTACAACAGCAAAATTAATGATGCTTTTTTTTTTGCCCACTTTGGTGTCAATAACAAATGTACTTTCCTTTCTTTAACAAAGATTTTCAAGGGACAGAGGATTTAATGTGGAAATAAAATAAACCAGTCATACACTTTCTTCTTAATAGCTGAGAAAAAAAAAGTACAGATCTCCAGTCAGCACTATTAACTTCGTCTTCACTTATGGCCAAGGCCAAACAAAATCATCTCTCAAGTAACTTCTGAGAAATACCATGGAAAGGTCTTGGATAGTGTGAATAACGCTTCAGTGAACATAGCAAAGTGTATATCTTTTGGAATTAGTGTTTTCATGGTCTTTGGCAAATACCTAGCAGTAGAATTGCTGGATCATATGGTATTTATATTTTTTAAGTTTTTGAGGACTCTCCATACTGTTTTCCAGAGGCAGTGGCAATTTACATTCCCACCAAGGTTTGAGAGTTCCTTTTCCTCTACATGCTTGCCAACATTTGCTTCCAGGCTTCTGGATATAGGCCATTCTCGCAATGTGAGGTGATACTGTGATTTTGATTTGCATTTCCCTAATAACTGATGTTGAGTATATATATATATATATTTTTTTTTTTTTGTGGGACCCTCGCTGGTGGCCGGGGAACGAACTGGCGCTGCAGAGGTTGCGGGCAGCCTCGCAGCCCAGCACTCAACCGTTGCACCACCAGGGGAAGCCCATGTTGAGCATTTTTTCATGTGGCCATCTGCATGTCTATTTAGGTCGTCTTCACATTTTTGGATTTTTTTTTCTGTTGCTTTTTATAATTACTCTATACATTTTTGGATATTGATTTTTTTTATCCCATGTATGATGTGCAAATATCTTCTCCCATCCAGTAGATTGCCTTTGGGGTTGAATGATTGCTCAGCATCTACTGGGAAGATCTATGATTTCTCTCCTTCCATTTGTTAATGTGGTTTATCACATTGATTGTTCTGTCTATGCTGAACCATATTTGCACCTCAGTAATAAATCCTAATAGACCCCG